GGGGGGGGGTTGGTTGGTTTTTGTGGGTTTTTTGCTTCTGTTGTCCACACTGAAAGGAACTCAAAACTTTGAAGCCATTATATTTCATACCCACCAATGACATAGTGGTGCTTCTGAGGCGTGAACAGCAGGTTATTCTCAAAAAGTGATGAAGCTGGGAACCACAATGAAGCTTCGCAGACACCTAGAAGCATTTTTCTTTAAGGATCATGAGATGCTTCTGTGGCAACCTCAGGTCCATAAAATCACAGAAGATAAAGTCAGTGAAGCGAAGCCTTAGGGAGACTCCAAAGTATCCTCGGGGGACCCCAAAGATTTAAGAACCTGCAAGAGGAACTGAGTTATAGCACTTCCTGCTCAGTGGAAGTGCTATAACCTGGACTGTCATTTTAATCAGCAATGCAATTGTTAGTTTCAGGCCAGATTTCCTCCATTAGAGATCTTGGGAAAGCTGTTGTACCAAGGTGCCTGAGCTAGGAGGAGGAAAGTTACAGCTGAAAGATCCAGAGTGGGAACCATGCACTGGCACTGGGGAATGATAATTCACGGTTATGGTGCCATTATTCCACTGAAAAAGTGGAATGCAGAGGGTCGTAATTTGAGTGCTGGTAATTGGCCTTCGTTAAAGGTAATGAGGTTGCATCATGCCAGCCATATAAAGAGAAAAATTCATGCTTTCCTGATAGTAAAATCAGGACACTTGGTGTTCCATCAAGATTTTACAATTCCAGCAGGATTTCCTGGCCATTATCTAAGGTGATGGTACACAAGAAGACACCAATAGCCTGTCTGCCTTTGGCAGAGATCTTTTGTGAACACAGCATGTTCCACATAGTTACTCTACTGAGAACAATTAAAAGTCTTTTTTAAAAAATAAGTACTTTTTCATCTCAGGGAAATTTACAGGAACGGGATATTTTTAGTGTACTGTATTACATTTTAAGAAAGATCAGCCCTTTTGTCCCCCAGAATCAAGTTTCAGCCTACTCACATTGACATCACTTTATGTTTGATATCTGAGCATGACTGATCTGTCATGCTTCAAACAGCAGTAACGCTGCTTTGACTTCTGATTCATTGAGAACTGCTTTGTAAACACTATAAAATAACTTTGATAATTGCAGGGTGAAAAGGGAGAACCAGGAGCTATCATTGCTGCTGACGGATCTTTAACTGAATTATTAGGAAGAAAAGGGGAGAAGGTGAGCTAATACTGTGTTGTATTCCTCCAGAATATTTGGTGGCCTTGTTACCAGCCACCTCTGCTAGATACTGCTGGAGTTCTCCTTGTCATTGCTCTATGTGTGCCTGTCCTCAACAGGGAGAAGCTGGAGTGGTGGGACCGGTGGGACCAACGGTAAGACATTTCGAAAGATGAGTGGATTCTTCTTTTTATTTTGCTTTCGTGTGACACATAATAGTAAATGTAAAGGTAGTTTGATTTAGCTTTTCATTCCTTCTGAGTAGGGGTGATAAAGAGTGTTCATGCTTCAGGATGATCAATGTCCTTCAGAAAATAATATGGTGGTTACATATGTGGTGCTGTAAACTACTGACTGGATTCAGAATTTAAATTCTGGTAGCACAAATGTATCCATTACTATCTAAACAGACAGTGAAATATCATCAGAGCTAGAAACTTACGTAACTTATCACTGTGAGTGAACTGGGTTTGTTTAGCCCTGAAGATAAAAGGCTGAGAGGAGCTCTAATTGCTCCCTGCCGCTGCCTGAAAGGGAATTATAGAACAGACAAAGCCAGGGCTTTCTCACAGATGCACAGGAAAAAGACAAGTGCCAATGATCACAAGTTCCAGCAAGGGAAATTCCAATGAGATGTAAAGAAAAAAATTCACTGTAGAAGTGGTTAAAAACAGAAATAGGTGCTCAGAGAGATGGTGGATTGTGGAACAAGGTGCTGAGCAGCATGACCTAGCTTGGAAGTTTGTCTTGCTTTGAGCAAGCGCTCGGACTAGATGGTTTCTAAATGTCCCTTCCAATCGAAATTATTCTCTATTTCTATGATTTACATTAAAACAATTGACTATATCAGGCTCAATTTCTGTCAGTACCAATAATTTGCAACTGCCTTGGGTTCTGAGGAAGCTGCAAACCAGGCAGTAGAGTCAGACCACGTACCAAAATCAGGCTTTAGATGCCTTTTTTCTGGTACTTGGCCTGATAGTTTTGACCGGATGCAGGATGTTGTATGAAAGCACAAGAAATTAGTTATAAAATAAGAACAGTTGTCCAGACTCAGCAGAGTTAGAGCAGGAATTAATTTCTTCTTAGTCTATTATTCCAAAGATCAAGGACATTGAGTGTTTCTTTGCTTCTGCTTTTGATGTAGCCTGGTCTCTGTTGTGCCTAAGTGAATGTTAGGTGTCGTCTTTTCTGCACACCAAGGTATGTAGGAGATTTTGCCATCAGTTTCTGTGGTCCTTAAAAGGGGTTAACTGGGTGTGCTGAGTAACTGCTTTCTTAATTACTGTGTATCAGAATACCTTGAGGGGGCTATCCTAACTTACCAGAAGGGGAGTTCCTCTTCTTGTCTTACTATAACTGCAAGATAAGTCTACCCTTTCACCTTGACATAGAATCATAGAATAATCTAGAATGGAAGTGAACTTCAGAGATCATCTAGTCCACACCACTGCCCAAAGCAGGTCTATTTAGCTCAGAGACTTGCCCAGTTGAGTCTTCAACATCTCTTAGGATAGAGATTTCACAGCATCTCTGCGTAGTACATTCCAGTATTTGACAACCTGTGGGGTAAAAAAAGTTTTTCCTTATATTTTTTTGGAATTTCTCCTGTTCTAGCTTGTGTTCCTTGCCTCTCATCCTATTGCTGTGCATCCTTCAGGAGATGTGCTTTTTCTATCAGCCCCAACTGCCATGAGACGCTTCATACAGCATGCAGACAAGGCCATTCAGAGGAAGTTCTTGCCAGCACTGATTACGCTGCAGGAGAATTTGGCACACAGAACCTGTCCCAAGACTTTGCTCAGCCAGTGCCTCTTCTTAGTGCAGAACTCTAGTTTGAGCATGGCTGCTAATGGACATGATCCATTTTGGTATTGTCCCACAGGAAAAAAAAAACCCACCTTTGTAGTCAGTGGGAGTCCTGTGCAGCAAAAATACACAGACTTCAGAGTGCTGGGCCAGAGCCTAGGTGGCATAACTTATCATCATTAGGATGGTTCAGTTCCACTTTGAACAAAGTAAGACTCTGGACCAAAAAAAAGCTTTGAGGTAGCTGGGAGCTCTGATCATTCCTCTGTGTTAGGGCACAATGAACTCATACACAAGTTTCCAGAATTTTAAAAAATCTCCTATTCATTGCTCCCCTCTTTTTCGAGACTTCAGCTGGACAGAAGAGAGGATCACAGGAGCTTGGAGCACAAGGAGCTACAGAGAAGTAGTGGTTTACCACATGACAGCTGGGGATAGTCAGGAGGGTAGTACTGTTAATAGCAAAAGCAGAAGAGACAGACTGAACCCGACCTCCTGCCACAGGAGAAATTAGAATCTTTTACCTGCTTGATTATCCTGTTCACTGTCAGCGAAGCAGACCGCTGCACATTACTGAACAGGACCCCTCAGTCAGAACCACACTGTCACTCTGCCCAAATCGACTCTGCTGTTGTAAATGACATTTCCTTTTCTGGTAAGCAGTCTCCTGGTGCTTCCTCACTTCCTTCTTTCACTTCTAGCTGTGACTGCTGGCTTCTGTCTCAGGGAGTCGCTAATATCTCTCAGGGGTGGACTGGCACTTTGACAGAGGAAATAGTAAAGGTGGCTGCAGCATGGTTGACTCTTACACTGTTGATGTTTATTTAAAGTCCCTATTAAAGCATGAGATCCAGACACTTCTCTTTATTAAAACTAATTTTAAAAGTCTGTTTCTAATGTCTTCATTGTTCAGTAAAGCTCAGATTTGCATATTCTTTAAAGGCTCAAATACCAGAAAGTGAAATAGAAGAATACCCCACAACATTTTGTATTTCTTTTTTTTCAAACCCCATTATTGGATATGGTAGCACAGAAGGGTGGGTTGAATCATTTTGAAAGCTTGTGGTCACTATATTGAAGTTCACATCTGCCCGAGTCCGCAAGCAATCTATTGCCTGCTTTAGACGCAGGCATTAGCTTTGAATTTTTGAATTTTTAGAATTCTGATTACAATGGTGATGTTATGAATCAATATATTCACATGTTAACCATATCTGAATTTCATCTCTAATCCAGTCTTCAGTTTTGGCATGATAAAAATTACAACATTTAATCCATGAATTTCAGCTTGATGCTAAGATAAATCTTCTCATCATCATCAGATGAATTTTCCATGAAAGTACATCACTTTTCAATGAAATTATATTACATAAAGGCAAGGACAAACACTTGCCAGTTTCAAAAAAAACCCAAACCAAATGGTTTTGTTAATTGAAAATTCTATCAATATGGCAATAGTTTCTTTCATAAGATGGACTGGTAAGAGACTGGTATTTGAATCCAGATGATATTCCTCTGTCAATACTCTGCTGATCAGATGAGATGCAAAACTCAGAGTATGCAAATCTTCCAATTATATATATCAGGCTATTTCTTGCAACCTTTCTAGCTCTTCACTTGCCCGTGCTCCCTCTATGCTTTGAAATGAGAACAGAACTGGCAACAGAACTGGACTGTAAATAAGGAGACTTGGTGCTGCCGCTGGCTTTCTTCCTTCTTAGTCTCTGCTCTCCTTAATAATCAAGAGCAAGTGAGTGACAAGATGGGGATTTCCTCTTGTTTTTTGGTTGTTTGCTAGTTATCCTTTGAAGTAGCAGTCACAATGGCAACAAACGTTTGTTGCTATTAAAGCGATGTGCTGAAATTGTGGTAAGCAGTGCAATACCCAATATCTTTCTTCCATCAGCATAAGTTTGTATTAACTATCATATTGCAGGTAGCAATAGAAAGTCTGTTACAATAATCACATTGAAAGTATTGTGATTTCTCAGGATTAAACACATCAATTGTCCCCTGTGCAACTAGTATCTGCATGAGATCTATAGACAGAGATCGTTTAACCAATAATGCAAGAAGTGGTACCTCTTAGAATTTCACCAGACTGAAAAAAAAGGGGAAATGAAACCACAAGGGTTGATCCATATGTAAAGAGATTGTCTAGACCCTTGTGGTTATGTTGAGTTTCAGGAAGCTGACAGCAGATGAAAGTTTATGTTATCCTGAGGTTCACTGCTTTTTGTTGATCTCTTTCTGGCTTCCTGGAAGTTGCAAGCTTGCAAATGCCCAATCATAGACCATCCCTCGTCCTAGAGCACTTTTCTCATGCAGCCTGCTTGCCCTTTCTTTTTGCAGTCACTTGTATCACTTCATGGGGCCTGATGGGTCAGTCGCTCTCATATAAAGAAGGATCTGTTCTGTTTCAGCTATCAGACTCATAAATCCACATACCCAGGCTGGCAAGAGGCATGTAGAAGCCTGGCACTGTATGAGTTCTCAAGCAGATCCACAAACGTTTCCTCATAGGGCCTGATTCAAAATTAATTAGAAAAACAAAGCAAACAAAAAGGAGATGCCCAAAGCATACACCACTGTCTTTTTTCTACTGACTGATACATTTAATTTTTCTTCGATACATGGTGACTCAGTTCTGAATTGCACACCCTACAAATGACTGAGAATTCAGACTTCGTTTTAGATAACCAGTCTTTTCCAAGCCAGAGTTGACTGCTACATGCAGGCCTCAGCTTCTGACATCACTTAGCAGAGCAAGTAGAGAAGACATTCTATGCATTCTCTGCAGACAATCACAGACTGATTTTTAATGCCAATATAAAACAATGCCTCTTATTCTAAATATTTAAATGTATGTCAAAGATATGTTCCATATATCCTCCATAATCACATTTTCTTTTTTGTCCAGGGACCAATAGGACCTGCTGGACCTAAAGGAGAACTTGGTTTCCCAGGACGTCCAGTATGTATTATGCTCTCAAGTGGAATAAAGATAGAGAAGCTTGCTTCTGACACATACTACACTATTTCTACTTATTTCAGGGCCGCCCAGGACTGAATGGACTGAGAGGTGTGAAAGGTGATCGAGGCGAAGCGTTTAATGTAAGTTCTTATGTATTGCAAAAACAAATCCTGTTAAAACATTAAGTCATCTGATTTATATTAATTCCTTTAAAATGATGACAGGACTAAAAACTTGAAATGATCTAGAAATGATTATATGTTTCTGCGACTTTTTCTATCTGGTAACCATCATTGAAAAGTCAACTTTTGTGTCCATCTGGACAGCTCTTGCAGATATACATATTTGTATCAGCTCCCAGGTGTAACAGTTGTATGCGTGATTCACTGTTAGCATAGCTGGTTCAAATACCAAATGATCTGGGATTGCCAATCCTTTCTATACATCAAAGACTTCCTGATCCAGGTCATCAGTATGACCCCTCGTGGTGTGAAGATGCTCCCATAGGCTCATAGCTATCTAGCACAGGTACAAACAGCACTTGAGCATATCATAATGAAGTGGCATCTACTCTACTAACAAGGAGATACTTGCTAATACCTACTACCTGCCTTGTTGCCTTGTACATGTATCCAGAATAACGACTACTGCATAGATGACAGCATATCCATGCCCACCTGTAATTATGGAGTGACAAGTGATGAACCAAGGTCCTGGTGCTGCAAGTCTGTTCTTATGAAAAGACTTCATGCAAGGAGTCTCGTGGTAAACAGGAAGACTGGACTACACAACAATAAACATCACTGAGCATAAGCAATAAGTTTCACAATAACAGAGTAAATTGTGTGGTTGTTCTGATGACATGGGGCAAACTGTGCTAGAAAATTTGGTACCCATACCACATCAGCAGCTAATAATATTTCATCTGCATCAGAGATATGCTGACAAAAGAGACAAGTGTATTTTACTGTGTTAGCATAGAAATCATAAGGTAGGGATCAGCTAGGCATCAGAAGAGGCGATCTAGTCAATATCACTGCATATCAGTAGAGCACTTTTTGTAGATGAATTCTGTTGTATAAGTTCTCTGCTTCTACTTCATTAAAAGAAAAAAATATATATTACACACAAACTGCAAAACACAAGTATGTTGTCTATCTGGACAACAAATACAAGTGAAGTTATGATACTGCTTTATCCAATTAACAGGGTGACTGAGAATTGCTAAGTATCTAAGTATCTTCACAGAAAGAAAAGATCAGGTACTAAAGGTTGCTTGTGCCTCTAGAGAAAGGTTTAAATAAAAATTTAGTTGCTGGAAGGTGAAACCAGACAAATTAGACAAATTCTAGTTGGAAGAAAATGACAGAAAAGATGACTAGCCACCAGCAGAAAATATTAAAGTAGATTTTTCCATTCTTCCATATCTTCAAACAGTGTCAGGGTTCATTTTCTGGGTGTCTGCTGTAACCAAACAAAAACTATTAAAGCAAGTATAACTAGATGAAGTACATCAGGCTGGGAAATTAAAGTAAACAAGCAAACAAAACAGGCTACATGTTCTAATAGTACTTCCTGGATTGCCTGGGGAAGATAAAATCTAATGGATGTCTAATTATTGATGAAATGACATGTGTCACCTCACAGAAGTCTGCATTGATGTGGAGTGAAAGATGGACGTGGCGTGATGCCAGGTTTTTAAATGACACAGTAAAGACTTGGTATATTTTTTTCTAAAGGGCAGTCACACCTCCAGTCTAGCAGGGTTTCTTGAAGGTGCTAATTAGCATGTAGTTATCTGACTGGAACTTGAAAATATATGAATCTCAGCAGCCTTGAGAATCCCAGACCAGTCTGATACCTAATTTTCCTTGGATGAGAGAGCTACTGCCTTTAATTTAGTTTCAATTTTTAGTGCTTTGGGGTTTGGGGGTTTGTTTTTTTTTTTCCCTGGAAACAACAACAATATTAGACCATTTTGCTCTCCACAGAGTGCTTTAGGTTAAATATTAAAATTCACCTGACAGGTTGGTCCGTGTAACTGAATGCTTAGTCTCCCCTCAAGCCATTTAACACAAGACTTCTTGGTTAAATGGGGGCCTCCAAGCCCCTTGGGCTTCTTTCTGTAGGCTCAGTTGTGTTGCATATGAAAAGATCTAATATTTTCCTTCTTTCACTTTCTCTTACCAGGGCCTTCCTGGCTTGCCTGGACCGCCAGGGCCTCCTGGACCTCCAGGACGTATAGTTTATATCAAAGGAGTAAGTACAACTGGGGATCTGTTGCTGGTCTACCTTTTGTTTCCAGGCTGTGTCTATTAGATCTATTTGGTGTGTTATCTGCTGTACTATGCCTACATTCATTAAAATAATTTCCCCTCCTGTTTTCAATAGACAGTTTTCCCAGTGTCTCCCAGACCTCATTGCAAAATGCCAGTAAGTCACACACAGAGTCTGCTCGTAGTAAAATGCATGGCCATGATAGTACATAACCAAAATAGCTAGATATATAACCACGGTAACTTTGCAGCTTTTCTCCCCCTGCCTTCTGCTTTGCACCAGAGATGTGTTTTACCTAGTTGTAAAGATAACAGATTTTCAAGTGTTTAGATACTCAAAATTAGCCACATATAAAATATATAACAGAACTAGAAATACCAGAAACTTTTGCTTAAAGCACTTTTATTACCTGTTTGTCCTAACACTTTTAATGCCTTTCAAAGCCTGTTTTTCCATAGTTTAAGAGTTGCTTTGGGGAGCTGAATGTTTATACATACATGTGCACACATTTTTCAGATGGGTATATAAATACTGTCTCCATGTTGTCATGTCTTTAGCTGTTTTCAATTTCCCTGTCCAAAATAAGACTTGTTATGCATTTCATTGTAGCATGAAAGATGTATCAGAAAAGAAAGATTGTGTTCTCTATTTGACCCTCAAATGCAGTCTATTCACATATAAACATTTATTATCTTGAGAATGGCAGCAGGTGAAGGTCTGCCCTTGCTTTTCAAAGGGAATGACAAAGCCACCGTTACCCTCAAAGGACCTGCAATTTCACACATAGTATCAGAAGAAAGGAGATGGGCTTTATATTTTCAGAACACCCTGATGCAATTTTTGTTTAATGAGTCATGGAAAATACATCCTACAATGAACTGCAAACAGAATTCAGTCCTGGAATTACTTTCTGTAGGGCAATATTGTACTGTTAAGCCACGGGTTAGGCATTTGGAAAGGATTCTTACTTTGAGAGCCACAGTCCTCCCCTGAAGAGTGTGGTATGCAATATGGCTGTTTACTTTTCTGTTAGACAGTATAGCTCAAGATAGTATTGTGCCCCCTCCTCCAATTTCCATTCCAGTTCTTTTACACTTATTTTAGAGAAGCAGCTCTTGACCTACAGTATGCTAGATACTTGATACTTGTCATCACCCTACCCTTACTGCTGAAGACAGATGTATCCCAGCTCACGGATCTTTACATTAATGATAAATATTCATTACTCCACGGTACTTTGACATTTCAGTTTTGGCCTGCCACCTCCAGGCACCATCTTTTTACCTCTTTGAATTGCTCCCTTAAATCTTTCCATTCTCACCATATAACATTCTTGTGTGTTAATCACGTGTCCCTAATCACATATGGAATAGTCCGTCTCACCTCTGAAACCTGACTGGATGAGGCCTTGAGCAACCCGATTTAGTTGATCCTGCTTTGGGCTAGACAATCTCCAGAGATGCCTTCCAACCTCAACTCTCCTATGATTCTCTGTGGAATGATTCAAACAATACAAGCCTATTTTAGCTGAATTTCAGATAATAATAAAAAGTCACTTTTCAAGAAGGTTACAATCAGTGAATATTAGCGGTAACTTTTATGTGCACAAGTAATAGGAACATGTACTTATAAACACCTCTTTGTGCATCTGAGTATGCTAGATAGATTTGTCCTACATTTGTGAATAACCTCCTAAACCTATCCGAGTTTATAGATAAGAAGTCTGCTGTACATGCCTACATAAATGAATATCGATAAAGAACTACAGACTGAACCCCACAAGTTTTCCTCATGTGAACTGAACTTCTGAAGTTAATGGAGCTATCCATGTGAGTAAGACTTCTAAGAGCTATTACTACAGGATTAGCCAGGTTCAGCACCTTCAATTTTTTTTCATACACTTTCTTAGATTCATATGAGTAGTACTAGCTAGTACTAAGATCTGTCCCTTTTCAAGCACTGTGCCACATTTTAATTCCTGCACTACCTCTATTTTGAAGACAGGCAATAGAGGTAAGTACCATGCCCACTGCTACAGGTGGCTGGTGTCAGAACAGGATAGACTAGAGTAGCTTCTGCCTCCCAGTTGTGGTCTCAATGCATCAGGAGCACAGGTCAACATCAGACACTAGGCATAGCCATGGTCTGATGAAAAATTTACAAACACAGTCTGTTATCTTACAGTCAAAAATCAAATCCTGCTTTCAAATGCAGTGATGGAAATTCAGAATTGTCCTCGGAGGATGAGTTTTCTGCTGTTTCACTGGCATGACTGAGGGTAGGATTTGCTGATGCCTCCAAAACGCATGTTGTTACCTTCTTGCTGAAAGCATGTTGCATGTTAAAGAGAGCGCAATCCTGAAAAAAAGCTTAATCAGCTAATACTCCAACCTTGTCAAACTGGAGATAATCCCAGAGTGTTGTTATAATATTTACTGTGATAGCATGCAAATTTTCCAGGCTTTTCAGGCACACCAAGTAATGCACTTCCATTGGTTAATGTGTATGGATAATTTTTAATAGATTTCTTTGTCTGTAGGTGAGCAGTACTTACCCTGGAAATCAAGAAGCTCTTAATGTCCATGGTGAGCAATTCTTGTCTTGTACCTCAGTTTTAATAAGCTTTTTTAGGGTTTTTTTCTTAGTTAAGCTCTTTTTGCTTTTTCTTGGCAATTGCATAACTGGGCTTATGGGAAAGAAAAAAAAAAAAAGAAGAAGGAAAAAACAACAAAAAAAAGGTGGTTTCACTTCTTTTTCTGGTGAAACTGTGAGATCATATCTTGGTCCAGTCTCAACATGCAGGCCAAAGAACAAATGCCTAGGTCTGCGCACTTTGAAGACTAAGGTTTATAGATTGAGCACTGCAACACGGTTTCTGCAAGATTTAGTCTTAGAAGTCCTCTGTCAGAACACAAGTGTGACACATGGCTGCACCAAATCATTACTCTCTGCTCTAGCAATGTTTCTAAGAAGCAAATTCTAAAGTCCACCTGATATTACATCCCGCCAAACAACCAGGTGGTGTCATTCCTCCAGTGATGGTCAAAACCACTTCCCTTCTGAGTGACTAATACCAACAAAACTGAGCTTATAATCAGAGTTCCCATCCTTCTGTTTGAAAGAAAATTGCCACAGGCAGCGTCAAAACATACTGGCTGCTGGAGTCCCAGAGAATATTGCTGAGGAAAAGAAACAAGCTATTAACAATTCATTCTGTGAAGATGCACTGAATTTTCTAGCGAGACAGAAGAATGTTTCTATCCCTTCCTTCACTAGGAAGATGAAGCCTGTTGAAAAGAAAGTAATTTCTGAGGTTCAGGAGTAGCTAGGACAAAAACCTGACAAGTCAGACAAAGAAGGAAGTAAGACTAATGAGTCCTCCACACATGAGGGCCCTGGGGAAATTGTCACAAGGCTGAAGAAGTTTTTTTAGTTTTCACTTCTTTTAATGGAAGCGGGTTTCAGGACAATAGAGGGTCAAATTTGTGGTGTGCAATGATGCCCTGAGCTTGCTTTCTGAATCCTTACTGCTGAATCTCTTACAAGTGAAAGCCTAAGTCTTATGCTTGGCAAACTGTCCACATTTCCTCAGGGCTACGTCCATGGAATTAAGTCCATAGAGCCCAGGCTGTCCTAGCACTGCTCCTAAATTCAAAGACTCCCAAATGCTTGTCTCCCGCTGCACACAGAGGCTCCAAAAAGTTTCTCTGTCCATATTTTTGTTTTTAACATAGAATCCATGATCTAACAGAAGAAATGTTCACAGAGACCTGAAAGTTCTTTGTTCAAAGGGCATTTTCCTTAGTTCTAAGAGTTGACAACAAGCTGATAAAGGACATTCTGAGGATAAAGGACATTCCTAAAGACCACCTGAAGAACCTGAACGTACAGAATTCTATGAGACCTGACAAGATGCATCTCAGCGTCCTGAGGGAACTGGCTGATGTAGTTGGCAAGCCACTCTCCATGATATTTCAAAAGTCATGGCAGTCAGGTGAAGTCCCCCGTGACTCAAAAAAGGGAAACATTGCACCCATTTTTAAAAAGGGTAGAAAGCAGGACCCTGGGAACTACCGACCTGTCAGCCCTACCTCTGTGCCTGGGAAGATCATAGAGCAGATCCTCCTGGAAGGAGGCACATGGAGGACAGAGAGGTGATTCAAGACAGCCAGCATGGCTTCACCAAGGGCAAGTCTTGCCTGACCAACCTAGTGGCCTTCTACAATGGACTGACTACATCAGTGGACAAGGGAAGAGCTACAGATGTCATCTATCTGGACTTCCGTAAGGCCTTTGACACGGTTCCCCACAACATCCTTCTCTCTAAATTGGTGAGATAGGGATTTGATGGATGGACTGTCTGGTGGATAAGGAACTGGCTGGATGGTCACATCCAGAGGGTGGTTGGTGCTCAATGTCCAGACAAGTGGTGTCCCTCAGTGGTCCGTATTGGGATCAGTACTGTTTAATATATTCATCAGTGACATAGGCAGTGGGATTAAGTACACCCTCAGCAGGTTTGCAGATGACACAAAACTGAGTGGTGCAGTTGACATGCCTGAAGGATGGGATGCCATCCTCGACAAGCTTGAGAAGTGGCCTGTGTGAACTTCATGAGGTTCAACACCACCAAGTGCGAAGTCCTGCACCTGCACCATATCCTGGGCTGCATCAAAAGAAGCATGGCCAGCAGGTCTTGAGGGAGGTGATTCTGCCCCTCTACTCCACTTTTGTGAGACCCCACTTGGAGTATTGTGTCCAGCTCTGGAGCCCTCAGCACAGAAAAGACATGTTGGAGCAGGTCCAGAGAAGGGCCACAATGATGATCAGAGTGCTGGAGCACCTCTCCTATGAAGACAGGCTGAGACAGTTGGGGCTGTTCAGCCTCGAGAAGAGAGGGCTCCAGGGAGACCTTATTGTGGCTTTTCAGTACTTACAGGGGGCTTGTAAGAAACATGGGGACAAACTTTTTAGCCTGTTGC